AGGGGGCTGAGGGGCAGGATGGAGATTACCCACAGATGGCTTGTCCCAAGGAGCAGCAGGCAGGACTCTGAGCGGAAGCCTGGTGCCATTGCTGCAGGGCCATTTCCCGTACCCGGATCCCGCAGCCTGGACCGACGAGGAGCTGGGCATCCCCCCTGATGACGAAGAGTAGACAGGGGCAGCCAGGGCAGGCGAGGCCCCTTGGTACGTGCTGGGTACAGCTTCATGGTGGCAGCGAGGGTGGTGGGAAGAGGTCTGGCTTCCTTCGTGGCTTGCTGTTGAGGGAACAGGGGTCAGGCTGGACCTATGTTGGGGAGCAGCCCGAAAACTTGTCTTGGCCCAAAGCTTCATCTCATCCCAGCTTGCAAGGGTAGGACGCACAAGCCTGACTTTACGGAGTGGTGAGTAAGCACGTGCCCATGACTGTCTTGGCTGGAGCCCAGTCTTAGTAATTTTGACCCCAGCAGCCCTGTGGCTACAGCAGCACAGGACAGGTTGGGCATGAATGTCTAAGGAGGTTCTGTAGACAACTCTGCATTTCTACAATTGTTCCCTGGTTTCATGCCCTTGTATTTGTCTGACTGGAACCACAAAAAGTAGACTTGGCGAAGTCAGCCTCAGAAAAACTGCATCTCAATTTTCAGGCTCTAAAAAACTAGTTTTTAATTCTCACAGATTCTGCTTCAAAAATAAGTTAATTGCTTTCTGAAACATGACTGGTGGTACACACTAAACTTTACAAAATACCGTTAAATGGCCAGTTTGGTTAACAAAACATAGGTACCATGTACACCACTGCCAACTGAGCCAGTGAAAGCATTGTTGTAAAGCTTTAGAGACTTAAAAAAAAAAAAAAAGAACCCCAACCAACCTATGAATTGTTAATGCAGGTGTTCCATCTCAATTTTCAGGTGAGAAAGCAGAATCTACCTTAAAATCTATGTAACCACTTTTTATTGCCAAGTGTTGTGGATTGGGAGGCTTGCTTCTGAGTTTCTCTTAACTATTCTTCTTTTCTATCACTTGCAGGTGAGGAATCTCAGAAGCTGACAGTTTTGCTCTTGCATTACCGTTTCAGTAAACTATAACTATAAATAAAATTAAATTTTAAATGTACACTTTTGCTTTCAAGTTCTTGGAAGGCCAAAAGACAGCTTCTGGGTACAAAATATAAATGTGGGGGGGGGGATGTTACGTAATCAGCAGGGAACCTGGTTTTCTCTGATTTAAAAATTGCAAATTCTGATTTAAAAACCCAAAATCCATGATAAAAATTAAAGCCCCCCACAGGCTCAACAGCCCTCCAGATGCCCCTTACAACAGCCCCCCCCAGACGCAGACACGTGAACACAGAGGCGCACACAGACACCCACCCCAGCAGGTGGGGGGGGGTGTGTGTGTGTGTGTGTGTGTGTTGGGGGGGAAGAGTGCTGTGAGGGTAGATCAATAAGGGGGAAGCATACCCCTGTACCCACTCCCAGGTTCAGGGGCAGGGGTGCCACTCTGCGGGCCACATACACACTGGCTGACCTGACAGGGTTTGCACATGGAGGCCATCACCGCAATTCTGCCACTGCACGCTGCACTAACATCCCATGGCTACCCACATGGCTTTGTGTTCAAGTGGCGCAGGATGTGGCAGCGCGGTGGCAACCACCACGTGTGGACCACCTACGTGCTGCCTGGCCAGGGAGTGGAAAGGGGGGCTTGCATGCAGCAGCCGCCACTGCATTGTTGCTTCTGCCCCATGGCTGGCTGCAAGGGTCTGCAGTGGTGCAGGGTGGTGGTGGTGGCTGCGTGCTGGCTTGTGGGGGGGTGAGCTTTGCAGGCAAGCGCTGACACTGCGGAGCCATGCCTTTCACCCCTGGATCCTAGAGGTAAGTGGGGCTGAGGGACTGGGGGGGTGCTGCCAGCCCCAGGTGGCACACTGTAGCTAGGTACAGGGCTGGGAGGTGAAGACATGGGTGCCCCTCTGCAGGGGGCTTCGTGGGTAAGTGATGCAGGGTGCGTGTGCTGTCTAGCCGGCTGCCTAGGGGAGGGGGAAGCTGGTATGCGGCCAGCTGCACAGCTCTGTGTCCTGCTCTGCAGCAGGGGCGGGGGGGGCACTTGCACACAGCAGCCGCTGCTGCTTACCTGCAGGGCTGTGCCAGCAGAGATGGCCACTGTGTACAAGACCTCCCTGCGCTGCCACGGAGCTGTGTGGCTGGCCGCAGGGGTCAGCAACAGTGTCATAGCAGCCAGGCGGCATGCAGCCATCCTCACCGCTATCCTGCACTGTGCAGCGGCCACTGCCGCTCTGCAGGTTTGAAGTTTTAGTTCCCCTTGCCCATTTTGCAACTACTATCAGTCAGAAAAAAAATCAGTAAGGACTGTGTCAGACCTAGCAGTTATGATTCTTACCTCTCCGGAGTGGCTAGAGAGCACGTGGTTTTATATCATACTTCCTTGGCATCAGAAAGTTTCTTGGGATGGTACCAAGTATCTCTGTTCTTTACAGCTAGGGGCAGCCTGAGCTTAAATTGATTCAGTCCTTCAAGGTTAGTCTAACCTGGCTAGGCTAAACCGGTTTGTAACTGCTTAAGCACCCCCTCTGGATTGAAAAAATGCAGGCACATGCCTGCAGCGACTCTGGCTAGAAGCTGGGGGAGTGCTAAAGCAGCCCTCCTTCCTTTCTACAGTGCTGAGCTGAGGGGGGTGTGGCCCAATTAGGGAGGGGTTCCACCCCTCTTGAGCAACCCAGCAGGGAGTTGGTAAGTGTTTATTACCTCATTAAGAAAACAAACAGCCTCATTAGTTGAAACTCTTCTTAAACAACTCTTTCCAAGGAAGGTTTGGAGCTAATCAACAGATGGCTGGTAAAGATACTGTCCCTTCTGCCTTCTTCCCCTCTCCAATAGCTAGCAGACCACATGCTGGCTACAGTCTGTGCTAATGCTGAGAGGTGTTTATGTAAAGCAGAGGGAGGGGGAGCCCTGCTTGAGCAGAAAGTCGTGAGGGAGCATTCGAGGGGAAGCCAGGGAACACCGGGGAGGGGCCAGCTCTGCTGCGCTGGAGCAGAGCCTTGCCCAGAGTTGCAAAGCAACTAGGATGCTGGAGGACTCAGGTTTAATTTAAACCAGGAAGGGTCTCGGACAGACATTGCATAAACTGGTTTGACCCAAATCAGTTAAGTCTGATACTACATTCAACCAGACTTATCTCAAACTGGTTTTAGCCATGTTCAGCCTAGTTTATGTGCACTGAACATCTATTCTGTTACAGGTTTAAACCAGTTTCTGTGTAATGCCTGTCCCTAGCCTACAGCTTTAGCATAAGTTTACGAGGAGTTGAGCTAACACCAGGAAACTTGACCATTGGTACATACTGAACCTGAGACTGCATTATGGTTTGACTCCCCAACCCTTGAACTTGGGTCTTTAGGTACTTGAGGACCTAGGGAAATGTGAACCATTGTCCCTGCTAGTTTTTACAGGTGTAGCCTAGAAGGAAGATTTCGCCTCAGACAGTTCTCCATGCAGTCAATCTTTATTATAGCAGTATTCTCATATTCACATCAAGTACATAGAACTTTTTGCCTTTTTATATAATACAGAGGGTTTTTTTAAATAACTTTACACAGAAATAGTTTTCTTCAATCTGAATTTCAGCTATCAAATTTTTTAATATGTTTTAAGTATCCATGCTCTCTAACCAAACTGGACAATATTTCCCATTGTACAAATTTACATGAGAAAAGACTCCAAAGTACAAATGAAGGGACTAGAGCAGGAAGGGGTAAAAAAAAAAAAGAGTGTAAAGGGGAGGGAAATAAGCGAGAAAAATCATTTGTATTGGCAATTACTGTGGATGCTGGGGAGGGAAAGAAGGGAGTTGCCATGATCCATGTAACAGAAATCTGAAAATAAACATTTTCTTATGAGTTAAAAAATAAATACAATTTTTAAAACAATTACTCCATTGTAGTTTTTCAAAAGCAGCTATGGAAATCTACTAACACAATTGTTTTCTTAAGTAACCATACTAGACCTTAGACAAAGCAGACTCGTGAGACCCTCACAAACCTCTGGTGGTAAAAAAGAAAAAGAAAATACAGCTTAAAGGAATGTTGTGTTAGCACAGAGTTTAAACTGGGGAATATACATTTCATTGCACTATGTAAAAAGAAATACAAACTATAGAAATTTTCCCTTTCCTCTCTTGACTAGAATACTCTGCTCCTCAAACAAGCCTGTATATTACAAGATAATGCCATCTCCTCCTCTGCTGTGTTTAAGCAAGCCAGCCATCTTACTTTTCTCCAGGGGGTCCAATTACTGCATGCTACACTTCCACAAACTTAATGAAACATTGATTCCGAATCCCTTGTGGATGGATAAAAGACTTTGCACCTTTCCTAACCTAGGAAAAGCAGCATGCTTGAGTGAGGAAAGGACAGACTGTGCAACTAAACGCACAAGAGATTACAAACACTTATACCTAAATTCCTTCAAAACGAGATGGAGGACTACAAGAAAGCAGTGGCCAGCCTGCATGTGCGTTTTGACCCAAGGAACAGAGGACCCAGCAGGAAGCTGATGACAATCCTCAGTTTTTTTATGGGGGGTAGGGAAGGGGACCCCTCTGCCCCAAATAGGAGCCCAGAGCTAGACAGAGTGCCAATTATATGAATAGGAAGGTAGGAGGAGGAATCTTACCATCCTAGTTTGGCTGTTTTAGCCCAATGGCTGGAGTAGCTCTGTACTATGGGAGAACCCATGCAACAGACTCCCCTACCTCTCTTGCTCATTACCAGGGTTTGTTTGTTTTTAGGAGTCTGCTCCAACAGTTCCCAGGATTACAGAAGGAGGGGCAGGTTTTGCCTCAAGTCCTGCTGAGAGAGATTTTATTGTTTTTTAAATAACATATTTAGATAGGCAAGGACTTTTTAAGCTGGTATCTTTTATTGAACCAACTATGTGGTTGGGATAAAGTTAGACAAGCCTTCTAAAATGCAAGACTTTCTTTAGGTCTTACAAATATACATACATTTAGATAAGCACAAATTAAATCAGGCAGACACAAGGCAAGACATGCAAGTTGGCCACTGCCAAGTTTTAGTCGTGAGGAGAAAGGGGGTAGGGTGGAACACAAGGCTCAGGAAGGAACAATGTGCATGTCTTGTTTAAACGGTTCACAGCTTTGAATAAAAAGCACATTTATTGCACTTATATACTTTTTTAGATTTAGACAAAGTTATTTAAATTATGCTCACATCCCCCCAGCATCCCAGAATAACCCACCACCCACGTTTGGTACATTTTGCCCCTCAAGCCTCATCATCTGCACCCACAGACGGTGAGCTTCATTGCTTGTCATTATGTCCTCATGTTCTACTGTATTCCCAAACACACAAAACAAATAAACTGGGTTCAAACAGAGTAAACACACAGATGCAACACAGAATAACAGTTGTCAAAACAAAACCAACCATTATTTAAAAACCCAAATGAATATGGTACACGTTCCTCTGCTTTGTATTTTACTAATTCAGAAATAAGTCTCACAGGATTATTCTAAACTACAGTTGATGTATGTAGCCAAACAAAATGACTGGACAGTATTATGTAGGTTGCGACTGAGTTAGGATGGGCTGAATATACTGCTGCTTTGACAATATAAACCTAATGCATAGGTAGTTTAAAAGTCCACAGATATTTCCACCTGCCTACTCCCTTTAATAAAATTACAAATGGTTCGGGGGGGGGGGGGGGGGGGTTGTTTTTAAGTAGGGAAGATGTTATTTTCTTAAGAGTTCTTTTAGTGCAGAGGTTGGGAATGGAAAAGTATTCCAGATATTTCTTGAACTTTTAAGTAAAATATTAAAAACATTACACCCTGATTTGTAAAAGGAAACTAAAATGGGGTTTTAAACCAGACTCTCATTTTGTATGAACTGTGCATTTAAAATTGCACATGTCTGTTTAACAGAAGCACATCCAAAAGCTTTTCATCAAAAGAAGGCAGAGAAGAAACTTTGAAAAATGTTTAAGAACAAAGACCATTCTCTTTTCCTTACGCTCCTACATGAAAAATGACACTAGTACATACGTACTGCCAGGAGCCTACACAGCAGTTTG